TTTACGGACGGAAGCAGCATCGTCAGCACCACGCCAGCTTTCTTAAATATATTATTGGTGACAAACAAGGTCAAATTTTGGTCGATGACAATACAAGTGCCCTGTTTGTGGAAGCGCTTAAACAAAATATATTGTCTTAATTACAACTTTTTCCTGCAGTAATATACAAGATTTAGCTACGAATTATTCTGCCAAGGTTACAGCAGACTGGGAGCTTCATTTTTTGTTATTTTGTTTTACCAATGGAGCAGCTCTGATTATGCAAGTTTGTTCCACATTTCAGGCTTCACAATAAAACATCAGTGTATTTTAACGCTGGTTCATATTTCCTAGTATGTGTGAAAGTTGCTTTTCTACTGATTTCACAGTCTGACATCCAGACTAGTTCCATTAGCGTCGAGTCTACCCTACTGTGTAATGCATGATGAAAAATAAGGGGCTCTTCCAAATACTAGTGGGAACGATTTCCAGCGGACCCTTTTATCCTCATTGCACTGTCAGTCGGGAATCTTCACTCCCTACCTCCAAATATTGACATATGACAACGTGCCTAATGAAGAAACACGGGTCTAAGCCTCTCAAGTTGACTTGAGTTTCCCCTCCGACAAAACTGCCAATGCCAGCCAATTTGTAGGTTTTCGACGAGCTAGAGGTGAGTGCAAAACCTGTACGACACGCGGTTGAAGACCCAAACCTCTTAAATCACAACCAACTTTAAAGGCTTATGCTAATCAGACCCATGTGGGATGCACTGCTTTTGCAAAGCCATCAACGACGACATTTTAATTAGTGCAAGCTCCTTCCCCTCTTCCCTCCTCGAGGGGTGGACATAACCAAACCACTTCATTTATTTTGAAGGAGACTATAAACGCAGACGGAACTACCGACTCCTAATCGTGACAACAATCTAAGTCCCGTTGTCAAATCGTTCGAACTCCACATTAAGCCAAAGAGATGTGCCGGTTCCCAACAGGTCAGGCCTGGTTTGAGCCACCTGGTAGGTCAGTGTGCGGTCAAGAAGAAGACACGAGCAATTGCAACAAGTAGGACAACAAGCAAATCCCCTGTTCAGACTCCTCCCAAACAAGAGTCAGAGCACTATCACAACATCACTGACAACACTGCACACGCTTGACGAGCTGGAAGGGCGAAGTGATGAAAGGCACAAAAATTAGCCACCTTCATTTCAAATAAGATGATTAAATTAGTCGTCTAACCAAAGAAAACAAATGGGTTTAACTGAATTGGTGGAAAGACCAAAACGCAAGGCGACACTTGAAGTGAAATATCACAGCCAGAAGTCAGCACCACTGGCAGGCAGCGGTAGCAGCAGCAGCAGTTGCAGTGAGGAATGGTGGGTCTACCAAACACTGCCATAATCGATGCCTCCTGGTCGCGTTGTCGGTGGTGAGGGAGGGGAGAGCGAGTGACGTGGACTCATCGTAGCAGGGTTGGTGAGGTTCGGTTGGGATGTCGCACCGCCTATTACGCTACCGAACGATTTTGAGGCGAGAGCTCTGGCACGACTCAAAATACTGCCACCAGGACTGCGCATCCTCGGGCCGGGAGTGGCTACTGCCGCGGTCTCGAAGGTTGTCAGATGTTCAGAACGCGTGTTTCTGGGGGGTGAACCTCCACTCACCTCCAGATACTGCGTCATATTGTCTTCAAGAAGGCGATTTCGCAGAGCTGATAGATTGGTGCGCGTCTGACAGAGGTCCGAGTTGAGCTCCGCAATCTGGGCATTCAACTGGTTCTGCTCCATGTTCAAACGGACCACCTCCGTACGAGTGCCTACGTAGGCGCGCAGGGAACATTCAGTTAATTTCAGTTGTTATGACCGTGCCACTTTAACGTGTCCCACAAAACCCGTTTCTCACTCCCTCATCAAAGAGACCTTAGCGCTAAAGTTGGATTTTCCGTTCATCATGTGCCCACCTTCTTAGTAGCGTGTTTGATTACGTACTCTGGGACGACCCGATCCAAATAGACTGCAAATTTTAACCCCACCCAGTGGATGCAAAGACTTCACTGGCAAAAAAAAGGCTGCTGAAACTACGTCGACTCATAACAGTGATGCCTGAAGTGAAATCACACCGCAAGGTACGCCTTGAAGGTTCGCTTACAGCATTGCTATGCGTTCAGGGACTGATGGCATCCTGACGAATCTTTTTAATGAACGCGATTGGAAGACGGTGCCTGTGCATTCCCGGATCTCGTCTTAGACGAATCCCACTCGCACTGCCAACAATGAACTGGGGAACGATGTTACCACAAATTGATTTCCTGCCTCGTTGTTGATTCAACTTTATGGGAAGACTTGACTCGACAATCTAACCAAGGATCCAGTTCACGTGGAGCTCTGCTATTAGTCCCGAGCTCTTCCCCGCGTCAATGGCAAAGTTTCAAGTTATCTTCGCGTAGCCGAACACCTGCACCCCTTCATCCGTGTCAATACTACTCACTAGGATGTTAGTAAACAAGATGTTCGAAAACCTAAGACGATGAATCGGCTACCACCTACACCCCTCTGTAAGTCATCAATCAAACCACTTCCAGTCACATGCCTTACTACGCATTCGAGGATGACTTGAAGGAATTCCCACAAGGAGGCTCGCTTGCTCACTTACTCATTAATCTTTCCTCCAACAGATTCGCCAGTTCGATTAACTCCCGTTTCGTCATATCTAATCGAGAAAGAAAGAAAGAGGGTAAATAAAATGAACAAGTCAACACAGAGGACATGAGGTTTCAAGCTTAATACACTAGCTACCAAGGTCACGCATATGTGCCGCCTCCACCCACGCATCAAAGCTGTACTTTAACCCATTCCCGCCTCAACCATTCCTACGGTCCATGCTAAGCAAGCTGAGAGGCAATCAATTCAAAAGATCTCCCTTTCTGATGCATTTCACTACCTTGGTTTCTATCGTCTCATATGTGTGACCTATAGAAGACAGTTTTAAGAGCCTCATTGTGAAGGCATTAAAGTAGTATTGACTATCGAAGAACGTAAAAGCAAAGGCGTAAACTCCACCAACCCACCATCCTTCGACTTCCCGGGGCCTTCCTCCGGATGCAGACCGTAAGTAGTGCCCGGGGATGGCCTCTTAGGCATCGGTTTTAGCGGCGACGTCAACGCCTGTGTAGCAGGAAGGCCCCACTCCTCCTTCACCATCGCCTCCGCATCTGTCAATACAAAGGTTTTAGTAAAAAGGATGCCCATAATAAACCAACTAGGAAGGAAGGAAGGAAGGTAGGAAGGAAGAAAGAAAGGAGGTATAACCATGCAAACTCACAACGAGGGTTAGGTTCTAATCTGGACTCGGCCGTTTTTACTATGGGTCGGGTTTCTGGTCGCATAGGCGGGGGAATCGAGGAGCTCTGTGATAGCTTCGGCTCGTCCAGAGGCACTGCAATTCAAACACCACATCAAGTCGGCGTATGTGTGTGTGTGTGTGTGTGTGTATGGAGGGCGGATGCGTGCAACCACAAACACGAGCCAACGAACGAGGTGCACGAACACGCAATGCGAGTGTAGGTGCTAGGCTTACTAGAGCTACGCAAATCGATACAACTCTGAAAGCCGGCGTGGCAATGTCTCTGCTCGCCGCCACGAAGTCTCGCGAAAGCAGACAACAACTTGCGTCGAACCTTCTTTGGCTTTGCAGAGCTACAACTCTCTGAAATGAGACGACAACGATTTCTCAATCCTCGTCCCCATACAACACATACAGCAACCAGCGGAACAGCCAAGGCAGGTCGCGACTTTGGCAGTGCTAGGAGATGAAAGTGAGGGGAATCGCACAGGCAAAATGATCTCCACTTCCACCTGTGTCTGCCACTCCCTTTGTACGCGTCTATGCCAAAGGCACCTCCGTCCGCCTACACTCCGTACCGCCTTCAGAGAATAACCCGGATACTACGCTGTTGACAATGCAGTGAGGCATACACCACTCCTTCTCTCGCCCGTCTTTGTCCACATCTCGATTATTTCACAGGAACGAAGGTGTGGGGGCTGCCACAACAAATCACAAGCAAACTCCATTCTCGCAGTGAACCGGTTTAAACTTGCACCCAAAAAGAAACGGAATTAGAGACTTGACAATCTCCTACGAGGGAAGAGCAAGGAATGGGAATGAAGGACGACCGAGGAATGATAAAATCAGGCTGAAAGCCATACAAAACCATTCCAAATTTCCCATCCTCGGCTCTCGATCACAAATGCCTTCCCAGGGGAAAAAGGTGATTGGCATAAAAAGAGCGTGCCCTCAGTAAAGCCTACCAGATACACAAACAACAGCAGGCTTTGGAAGTCACTCAAGGAACAAGTTCTCGAATCTGCGGCTAGTCTAATTGGCTGCTAGTCCACTCGAAAAATAAAACTGCTATGACATCTGAGGCGGAAGAATACTCACCAGCAACACGGAGGACGACACTCGAGACAAGCTGTGGAAGGGAGCTACATTGGCAATCACGCGGATACCTATAGTCGCCCCACAAGACCGCTGTGGGCTGACAAGTGGTAATGGGCAGGATGACGGTGGGGGAACAGAACGATACCTCCATAAATTCACACTCTTTAGTTATCATTCCAATAGTATGGGTTCTTTATCGTCCCCTACGGCCTTCTACCCCTCTGTGCACCACCAATACGGAAGCACTCTTCAATTCTCTTCCACCATGCTGTGGAATCGGTGGCAGGGGGGACTAGGGGCTTTCAGCAATACACCGGGATGAGACGAAACAAA